TATAACCTCATTTTTATTCTTCTTCCTGCAAAGCCTTAGGGCACTATTGGTGTGTACTCCATCAGCCAATATGTCAGTTAGGTACGTTTTCCACATTTTATATCTTGTCTACAATGAAAGTTGCAAAATGTGAGACATAGGGATGCTAAACCAGTAGGGACAATGGTGTAAAGCTTTTTGTATTAAGCTTTTTATATTTCAGAAGGTAGAGGACCAGAATACTTCTTACCTTGTATACCTTATGTTGTGAAGTTTCCGTCTGTCATTGGTCCAGAGACTGCTTAAAAAACTGTATAAATCAAAATTTACAAAAGACTACCAATTTTGTGTAATCAACTGCAGTAACCCAGATCTTTGAAACTTCACAGAATGATTGAACATTTATTGGAGTTGTGCACCTGCTATTATGAAATTGTTTGAATAAATTTTTCTAATTTTTTCAGGCTTGGGACTTACTAATATTCAGCGAAAAATTTCAAAAGATTTGAAAAAAGTTTGTTTTTAACCCAAAACTTTGGAACTTCACAGATAGTTTGCTTTTGAGGATGTGTAACTTTTATTTATGGAGTTGTTTCAAGATTTTTGCCCATTTTGTTATTATATATTTCCATATATTATTTGAATGTTCAGTATAGACCATTCTCCTTTGTTTAAGAAAAAATCTGCACAATCCAGCCATTTGAGTCTTGGATCCATTTTTGGCACATGTATATGGATTGGTTGCAAAGACTTTATGTCCATTTTGTATATGTAACATGGTCTTGACCTCAATTTCAAGCTGTCAACAGTATTTGGTATGTGAATTGAATGGGATGAGTATATGTTCATCTTAAATATGTAATACCTGACCTTATTTTCATGCTCCAGTGGTCAGATGAAATATTCACTATGAGGTGTGTTCTCCCTTACTATACATGATGGTCAACACATTTTAGTATGAGGATTGTTTATGGGGAGTATATGATAGTCTGACATATGCCAAATTCATGACCCCATGAGTCAATAATATTGGTATATGAATCAGTTGGCCCGAGAACACAGTTATTTCATAGTGCATTTCTTTTAGACAATGAATTCTATTAAAAAAATCGCACCTGCTCTATCTCAAAAAGATTTTTACAGTGTAGTGTACTACTATTGGGACAAATAATATCAAAATTATAGAAAAGTCTACCAGCTCTAACTCAAAATATTGACAATTGTATATTAGGGGGTCTAAAATTCAGTTTGACAGCTTCAGACATACTAATTTTTGACCTTTTTTAACTGGACCAAATCACTACTTAACATAAAGATTCAGCACACAAATTTTTTCAACATGTGATTTTATCCCCTTACTTAATATTTCATGCATAATATATAAAGAAATAAACTTGGAAAGTGTATGAACAAAATTTGCAAGTTATACACTGTCCACACTAGGGACTATGTTTGTAGACAACGAAAATCAAAGGACGATAACTGTGTCCTCGGACCAGTTATAAGGAGTGGATGTCCATCTTTAGATATGTAATATGGCCTTCACCTAAATTTTTTGCGTTGTATAATGCTATCATGTCGTCGTCTGCATCGTCTGTGTCGTCCGAAGACGCATTTAGTTTCCGAACAATAACTTTAGTTTAAGTGAATGGATCTCTATGAAATTTAAACATAAGGTTCAATACCACAAAAGGAAGGTTGGGATTGATTTTTAGGGTTATTGCACCAACAGTTAAGGAATTAGGGGCCAAACATAAGCATTTTTGTAACTTCCAGACAATAACTTGTGTGTTAGTGTATGAATCTCTCTGACATTGTACCACAAGGTTCCATATCACAAAGGGAATGCTGGGATTGATTTTGGTGGTAATTGCCTCAAAATTTTAGGAATTAGGGGCCAAAAAAGGGGCAAAAAACAAGCATTTTTCTAGTTTCATGACAATAACTTGTGTGTAAGTGTATGGATCTTTCTGAAATTGTACTACAAGGTTCCATATCACAAAGGAAAAGCTGGGTTTGAGTTTGGGGGTAATTGCCCTAAAAGTTTAGGAATTTGGGGCCAAAAGGGGGCCAAAAAACAAGCATTTTTACAGTTTCCAGACAATAACTTGTGTTCAAGTGTATGGATCTCTCTGAAATTTTACTGCAAGGTACCATACCATATAGGGAAGGCTGGGATTGAGTTTGGTGATGATGAATCGTAAGGGGGTTCAAAAAATGGGGGGGGGGATTTTTCTTTTCCTTTTTTTCCTTTTTTTTTTCTTCAAAATTTTCCATTTTAAGTTGGTTATTTTTTATTTATATATAAAAGCAAAATATAAAAGCAAATAATAATGATATGGTTTGATTTCTTCAAAATTGAAATATTGGGGTTCTTTGATATGCTGAATCTAACCGTGTATTTAGATTCTTAATTTTTGGTCCCGTTTTCAAATTGGTCTACATTAAGGTCCAAAGGGTCCCAAATTAAACTTAGTTTGATTTTAACAAAAATTGAATTCTTGGGGTTCTTTGATATGCTGAATCTAACCGTGTATGTATTTAGATTTTGGATATTGGACCATAATAGGTAAATTAAAATTTGTTAAGTTCTTAGACCACATTCATTCTGTGTCAGAAACCTATGCTGTGTCAAATATTTAATCACAATCCAAATTCAGAGCTGTATCAAGCTTGAATGTTGTGTCCATACTTGCCCCAACTGTTCAGGGTTCGACCTCTGCGGTCGTATTAAGCTGTGCCCAGCGGACCATTTTATTATGTTTAAGTGGTCAGGTTAAGTTTTCATGATGAGATCTATTAATTTGTAACTTTACATGATACATCATCAATATATGTTAGTCAGGAGTAAATTTTAATCTGACCCATGTCATGTTTTAGTGGTTTTGGTTGAATTTTCAGGTTTACCCGGTATATAAAAATAAGGAGTTGTATGATTGCCAATGAGACAATTATCCACCAGAGTTCAAATTAAGTAGAGTAAGCAATAATAGGCCACCGTACGACCTTCAACAATGAGAAAAACCCATACTGTATATACGGATATTTAAGGCCAAGACATAAAAATTTGTAAAAATTCAAACAAGAAATCTAATGGCCTAGTTTATAACAAAACAATTTTAGAAAAACAATTATGACAGACATGCACCAATGACAACTACTGAACTACAGGCTCCTGACTTGGGACAGACACATAAAGAATGTGGTATGGTTAAACATGTTTGTGAGCTCTCAACCTTCCCCCTAATCTGGGACAGTAGTGTACCGTTCTAGAGTTATGCTCCTTTTTAATTCGGAAAATTGCAAAGCTTGAGCAGGGGCATTTGTTCCTCAGACATATTCTTCTTTTATTTTATTAGGTCTGTACCAGGGAAAGATATGAAAGATAGACTGAAAATGTTTTGTATGTTATGGTATAAGTTTATGAATGAGCATATTTATCTGACAAGCTACCCTAAATTTGGTCTTGACATCAGTTTCAAAGTACATTGCTTTTTGAAATGATTAAAATATTGCTGCTGGCAAGTCATCTTAGTGTGTCCACACTTTTCATATTTTAGTGTAACATTGCAATGATTTCATATGATGTCATGAAATTTGATAAAATTACAACAAAAGATACCGCCTTCTCGATTTTGATGATTTTATGATTTGTTATTCTTAAATTTCATGTTTTTGCCTGATTGTTACAAATTTAAAACTGTCTCAAATAATACATATTTTAAAACATGTAACAGGTCAGTGACCAAGATGTTTAAGAACTGTGAATTACAATAGATTTCTCAAAAACTATTTGATTTATGTAGTTTTATGACAAATAAAGACATAAAGTCATTCAATAAAATTTAATTGATATACCCTATGGTTGTTAAAAATTTGGACTAAAGCATGAAACATTGTTCAAGAATTAAATGTTTTAAAAATTTTAACATAGTATAAATTTATATTAAAGAAAGGAATACCACTAAAATTCATCATACACTCATAATTATGTAAAAGGACCTGAATACAAATAAAATTAAGTAACTGAGATATGAACTTTAGGATATGGTAACACAAATTTTAGTCATCTGTAAAATGTAGATTCTAGTGACAAAATATAATTAATTATGATATACATGTATCATTATACAGGCCCATAGCCTGAGGAGGGGAGGGGGGCTTATTTGGGTCAAGATGCTTAGACTTTTTAATAGTCAAACTTCAGTCTGAATATTTCAACTTGGATTAAAAAAGTTCGGAAAAATTACTTTAGTTCTTTGAGTAAGAAGTCTAGGTCTTGATGACTCAAATGTTATGATCTAACTTGTTGACTATCAGATGATTGCAATAGTGAAACACCACTGGTAGGATACCTTAGTTTTCAAAGGAACATAATGAAATACTGAAAATAACAAAACTGGACAGATTAATAGACAAGGGTAAATCTTAATACCCATATCTACTATCGTGGCATGGTATGAAAATTTTCCAAAGATGCATAAAATAAGTAATACTTTCCCTATAATATACTGTTTAAAAAGTTATAACTGAATATGTCAGAGAAATGCCAAGTAATTCTTCAGTAGCTTATTAGATGACAAAAATTAATTTTAAAAAATATTCAAGTTACTTAGGTTTTAAAATTGTTTTTCTTAATTTCTTAATTTAAACTACCATTATGTTTTTGTCATGTATAAAGGGGCATAATATCTAAGATATTTACCTTTATTCTAGAGTTATTAACAATGATTAGTTTATAAAGTTTAACAGTATAATATTATAGAATGTTATTGTCCCCTGCGTAACCCATTGCGGGGGATAATGGAAATACCGGGCGTCTAGATCTCTATTTTGGAAAATGTTTAAATAATCTTATAAAGATTGACAAGAATAAAGCAAGAACCCCATTTTCCCCAAATATATTACCTTCCAGTATTCCTCTTTCAAAACTTGCAAGATACTACCCTGAAATATTTTACTCAAAATATTTTTTTTATACAATTAGATTACATTTTGGAGTGTTACTGTATTTTTTTCAGGCATCTTTATCACAAGTGGTCAAGTCTATAGACAGGGCACTTCAAGCAATACATTATGCTGCATCAAGCACAGGCAGTCTAACACATGAACAAAGAGATAATCTTAGGTTAGTTATGAAACTTGTTTATCTGTGTATACAATTTACATGTACTTTACTTTACAAGATTGAAAAACACTACATATTATAATTTGAAAATATTTGTAGGATTGATTTTAGTTATTTAAATATTATTATTATTGATATAAGTGAATTTTAATAAGCAGATGGATTAAGTTCATGTTTACAGTTCTGATCATAATACTTATTTGTCCAATTAATATAACTGGCGGCTTTATTGTTCACGTTTACTATATATATATATACATATAAGCTTGTATTAATTTTTATTTTATTTTTGTTTATAAATTAATTTGATTAATTGAATAGTTAGAGTGATCTATAGATTGACTCTCAAGAGAGAAGTGGTTTGGTGATGCCGTATTGACAGAAGACTTCTGACCTATTTTTCTGATTAACTCATTTGAAGGATGTTTAATAATTTCAATCATAGTTAACAAGGATCTTCATAAGGATGTCTAGAACTGTATTTATTGTGCAGGCTTATCAATCATGTCAGTGTTCTCCCCAGTATCTTCAAATAACACCATGGGATTTTAAAAAGCGCTGTTTCTGTAAAAATTAGCACCACACTTATAAATAATATGTTCTATTCAGAAAGAACCATGTTAGTCTAACAGTGACAGATATAAAGCACCACTATGGTATCATGGTTCTAGAATTTATAAGACCCATGGGAAACCCTGCATTTCTTTTTACAAAATGTATTATTGAAAGTGTTAGCTTTTGAATAAATAAATTAAGTGTAGAATAAGAAAAATCTAAAGTAGCATTGATTTACTCATTTAAATTAAGAAGAAGTTGGAAAAGCTCTGGACAGGCACAACTATTTACAGAATCTGCATAATTGACATTCCCCTAACATGAGCATTTGGGTGTTCTAAGTCATGAACCTCACCAGTGGTTGTTTAAGAAACAATTCATGGGGGCTTGAATTTATACTGATTTTACCACGGTTTGTACTTAAAGCTAAATATTATACCATGAGTGATAGCGAGGGGTAAAATATCGGCATAAATTGCAAACCCGTGGTAAAATCAGTATAAATTGAAGCCCCCTTGAATTATTTCTATTTTAATAGGATAAATACGGCAATTCTTTTGGATTGAAGTGCCGTTCCTGTAAATAAACACACTATTATATTGACATAAAAGGACAGAGCAACTGAACTAGTGACATGCTTAAACTAAAAAAAATGGCTTATAACACATTTTATCATCATTTTTTTATGTTTCCTTGTTTTGATGACTTTCAATTTCACAATCGTTCATTTTCCCAGATAATGCTTATATTCTTACATCATCGTTCAATGACCTTGGGTAGCTCATTCATAAAAAAGCATATGATGTGGGAGTATGATAGGAACAGCCTAAACAATATATTCATATTTTACCATAGGTGTGTACTCAGATGGATATCCTTTTGTTCTATGATGTTCTTAATTGCAACATATGATTTTTCAATGATAACCATAACTGAATTTCAGAGTTGCTAGTAACTGTAGTCCTAAAGTTTCTCATTCCAGTTCTTAAATTTAATAATTTCAGTTTTTTCTCACCTTCGACAAAGTCTGTTATCTGTTCTGTTAAAATTGGCAATGTTGTTAACTGTTTTATATGAAAATAAGATTCCTGTTATCTATTACTTGACACTTAAAGTGTTCACTGTTTTTGACATAATTTATCTCTATTAACTGTTATTTACAAGAATTTTCAAGATTCACTTTCTTTACGATGCTCCCTCAAAGGAGTAACACAAACAGCATATATGTAACTGTCTTTGGAGATCTCAATCTGATTAAAATCTGATGCTGTGGTATGCTACACTCTGTTAGGGTGGAGAGAATCGTAGCGAAAACTAAAAGCTGATTTTAATGAGATTGTGGAGATCTTTAATAAAATTGAGAATGGAAACGGGGAATGTGTCAAAGAGACAACAACCCGACCAAAGAGCAGAAAACAGCCCAAGGCCACCAATGGGTCTTCAACACAGCGAGAAAATCCCACACCTGGAGGCAGGCTTCAGCTAGCCCCTAAATTAAAATGTGTTCTAGTTCAGAGAAAATGGACGTCACACTAAACTCCTAAACATATAGATGAACCAAAATTAAAAAAAACATACAAGACTAACAAAGGCCAGAGGTTCCTGACTTGTGACAGGCGCAAAAATGCGGTGGGGTTAAACATGTTTTGTGAGATCTCAACCCTCCTGCTATACCTCTAGCCAATGTAGAATAAACAAACACATATAGCAATACGCACAGTAAAACTCAGTTAAAAGGAAATCCAAGTCCGATATCAGAATAGGTAACAGAAGATACTAAGCAAAATGACAATGATAACAGAAATTAACAAAGGACTACTAGCAGTTACTGACATGCCAGCTCCAGACCTCAATTAAACTGTTTGAAAGATTATGTCTTCATCATATGAAAATCAAGCACAATCCCTCCCGTTAGGGGTTTAGTATCATACCATCATAAAATATATGAGAAGAACATAACCCGTATCATACCAACAACTGGTTGTCGAACCTGCGACTTTTGTCGCAAAAGTGAGACATAGCGATCCTACATTCTGTCGGTGTTGTCGTCGTCATTGGCAGCATCCACAAATATTCACTCTGTGGTTAAAGTTTTTGAAATTTTAATAACTTTCTTAAACTATCCTAGATTTGTACCAAACTTGGACAGAAGCTTGTTTATGATCATAAGATAGTATCCAGAAGTAAATTTTGTAAAAAAAAACGTATTTTACTCATAAATGGACTTAGTTTTTCTGCCAGTTAACATTACATTCACTCTGTGGTTAATGTTTTTCAAATTTTAATAACTTTCTTAAACTATCCTAGATTTGTACCAAACTTGGACAGAAGCTTGTTTATGATCATAAGATAGTATCCAGAAGAAAATTTTGTAAAAAAAAAATCCTGTTTATCCGTATTTTACTCATATATGGACTTAGTTTTTCTGCCAGTTAACATAACATTCACTCTGTGGTTAAAGTATTTCAAATTTTAATAACTTTCTTAAACTATCCTGGATTTGTATGACACTTGGACAGAAGCTTGTTTATGATCAAAAGCTAGTATCTAGAAGGAAATTTTGTAAAAATTTATTTCCTGTTTTTCCGTATATTACTTATAAATGGACTTAGTTTTATTCCAGTTAACATTACGTACAGTCTGCAGTTAAAGTTTTTAAAACATTTATTAGATTCATAAACCTTCTTGGATTTTTACCAAACTTGAACAGAACTTCTTACAATCAAAAGGTAGTATCTAGAGGAAAATTTTTAATAATATTTTCCCCATTTTTGTTGAGCCTGCGACTGACAGCAAAAGTAGGCGAGACACTGGGTTCCGCGGAACCCTTACGATTTTTTTTAGAATAAATGTGTTTATTTCTGATGCAAAGACCCTATGAGTGAATCAATATTAATTTTAAAAAATGCCATCTTTAATGACCTGACAACAGTATTGTAACTATATCTTTTCTGAATAAGTCTGTTTAAAGGTTTGGTTAGCTTTTGAGCTGAATGACAACATTTTTGTGCTTTGTATAGAATATTACCATAAAAGATTGGATGTGAAATACCTGAACCTATAAGATGTCTACATGTTGATTTATATTTACGAATAATGTCCTTGTACCGATGATCAAATTTAGTAAATGTTTTGACAAGTTTATGATATAAACAGATATCGAAAACCCTGGTATAATTATTTTTCTATAATACAGCGATTTCTTTCATTAAAATCAAATATGTTGTTACATACACGAGTGATTCGAACAAGTGGAGATATATAAACACCATAAGATGGTGACAAGGGAATGTCACCATCTAAAAATGGATGACCAACAATAGGAAATGAAAAATTATCTCTTTGATCGTAAATTTTGGTATTAAGCTTTGGTATCAAGATTCAGGAAAGGGCAGTTTTCATTGTAAGTATTAGCTTTATTTAAAGTCAGTTCAGCAGGATAAATCTCTTTAGTGTACATACTGAAGTCATCATTATTGAGAGCCAATAAATCATCCAAATATCTAAAAGTGTAATTAAATTTTTGTATCAGATGATTTTTTCGATGGGTCTTTGCTGATTTTAGTCATAAATTAATTGTAACTCATAACAATACAGAAACAGGTCCATAATAAGTGGTGCACAGTTAGTCCCCATTGGAATTCCAATAACTTGACGATATACAGAATCTCCATATCGCACAAAAATGTTATCAAGTAAAAATTTAAGTTTATTTCTGTCCCCTATTTAATTTATCCCCACGTTAACAGGAATGGCCACTTTTGACCAGGGGAGATGTTCTGATCCAGCTCAGCTCCCAGCTCAATCCCAAGATAAAAACAATGACAATGAGATTAAGATAAAAGAGTGTTTTTTTGACCAGGGGAGATGTTCTGATCCAGCTCAGCTCCCAGCTCAATCCCAAGATAAAAACAATGACAATGAGATTAAGATAATAGAGTGTTTTTTTGACCAGGGGAGATGTTCTGATCCAGCTTAGCTCCTAGCTCAATCCCAAGATAAAAACAATGACAATGAGATTAAGATAAAAGAGTGTTTTTTTAAATTGACCCAGAGCACCTGAATGGAGTAGTGAAAAATATATACATTACTTTTGTATAAGTCGTATAAGACTGCAATAATATAAGTCACCTTTGTAGATATTCGTAGTCTTATATCTCAGGTAATCAAAGTGACAATCAAAGCACAAAGATGACAAATATAAGTCAAATGTATAAAAATACCTTGAGGTGTATCAATACAAGGCAAACAATAAAGATTTTAAAAATAAATAACATTAAAATCAAAAACAACCTAACCCATTCTTTCCATTGGCCAATGGCTTCAGCTTCGTGTGGGTCTAGGCAAAAAAGCATGCATTGACATGGTAGTTGCACCTGTCTGGGAAACATTATTCATGGTTATCACAATCTTAACTCCATACTCACTTAGACAATTAATATTCAAAAAATTGAAACATTTCAGGGAAATTCATGGACAATGGGCAAAACCGAGACAACAAGCAGACAGCATATTTATAGGACAAACGGTGTACACAATACACTAAAAGTACATACAACACATGAACACAAACCTGATTAAAACTGGAGTAAACTTAGGTGCTTTGAAGGGTGAGCATTTCCTGCATTTTTGCAAGACACCCACTGTTTCTTTTGAAAATTCCTCAAATTCAGAACAATCAACCTTCACATTGTTCGATTTTTCAATATGGTTGTTAAGTGTTATTGAAGTTTTTACATCACTGTTATCTGTTATTTAGTTAAAGTTGGTGTTAACGGAGGACCCCCTATTGCCCCCCTTTGTCAACAATGTATAAGTTTATGATAAAGTCAGTTTAAGGGGACCCACTAGTGATAGGTCAATGTTATTATACCCCACGCAATGAGTTGCAGAGGGTATAATGTTTTTGACCCGTCCATTCGTCTGTCCGTCTGTCTGTCCGTCCGTCCGTCAGTCCGTCAGTCCTGTTTCTTGTCATCGCAACTCCTCTCAAACCACACAACAGAATTTAATGAAACCTTTTTAGATAACAAGGACATACTATTTAGTTGTGCATATCGACAGGAAATTACGATTCAATTTTTTTTCTAGGAGTTACGCCCCTTTGAACTTATTTACTTTAATGTACTACTGCAACAGTTTGTCATCTCAACTCCTCTGAAACCACACAACAAAATTTCATAAAACTTTGTAGATAATAAGGAAATACTACGTAGATGTGCATATCGACAGGAAATTACGATTCAATTTTTTTTCCAGGAGTTACGCCCCTTTGAACTTATTTGCCCAATATACTACTGCAACCTTTTGTCATCGCAACTCCTCTCAAACCACACAATAGAATTTCATGAAACCTTTTCAGATAATAAGAACATACTACGTAGATGTGCATATCGACAGAAAATTACGATTCAATTTTTTTTCTAGGAGTTACGCCCCTTTGAACTTATTTGCTTCAATATACCTCTGCAACAGTTTGTCATCGCAACTCCTCTGAAACCACACAACAGAATTTCATGAAACTCTGTAGATAATAAGGACATACTAGGTAGATGTGCATATCGACAGGAAATTATGATTCAATTTTTTTTCTAGGATTTACACCCCTTTGAACTTATTTACTTTAATGTACTACTGCAACAGTTTGTCATCTCAACTCCTCTGAAACCACACAACAAAATTTCATGAAACTTTGTAGATAATAAGGCCATACTACGTAGATGTGCATATCGACAGGAAATTACGATTCAATTTTTTTTCCAGGAGTTACGTCCCTTTGAACTTATTTGCCCAATATACTACTGCAACCTTTTGTCATCGCAACTCCTCTCAAACCACAAAATAGAATTTCATGATACCTTTTCAGATAATAAGGACATACTACATAGATGTGCATATCGACATTACGATTCAATTTTTTTTCTAGGAGTTACGCCCCTTTGAACTTATTTGCTTCAATATACCTCTGCAACAGTTTGTCATCGCAACTCCTCTGAACCCACACAACAGAATTTCATGAAACTTTGTAGATAATAAGGACATACTATGTAGATGTGCATATCGACAGGAAATTTTGATTCAATTTTTTTTTCTTATACAATTTTTTTTTCTTACAGTTATTTTATTTCTCCAGTGACAATGTGGGGACGTGGGGTATGTGAGCGCGCTCACTAAGGTTCTTTAATTTGATATGCAGTTGTGTAAGCATTCTCATGGAGATTATTTGGCCTTGCCCTGTCGGTCATGGTCTATTGACTTTGAAACTTCTGCATAATTAATATGTTAAAGTTTGTGATTAGGTCAGTTTAAGATGAACCACTTATGATCAGTCAATGGTGTTTTGTATGCAGTTGTATTGCCAATGGCATTTCTCTTTCCACACAGGTTATTTGACCTTGCACCTTCAGTCATAGTTCATTGACTGAATGTTTTTCATAGTTTACCATTTAAGTATTGCCATTTAAATTCCAACTTTTGCATTATACTATCAAAATATATAAAGGTGAGACATATCTCAGTGTCGACAGTTTATTTGTATATGGCATGAAACTGTAAAAGGTATAATAAATATCATCCTTCCCTAATTTCTAAGACTCGTAACAAAAAAGTTGATATTTTTTCTGACAGTGACTTAATGTTGCATATATTCATTAGCCCTGTAAAATGATGATAGATGAATGTAAGAATTAGTATCTTGGGACATATTCCAATTTCCATTATTTCATATTTGTGCTTTCATTCTAGTTCAAGCATAATTTAAAATGGTTCTTTTAATGGTTTACAGGAATTTAACAATCCCCTAATTTAAAAAAATAAAATAAAATCCAAACTGAATAGATCAACATCAAATCTACAATAACATACTAGCATCAAAAGGGAAATATTTACATAAAGTATGATAGATGAATCTAGACATTGTGAAGTTGGATATTCTGTATTGCCACTATTGGTGTATTAATCTCAGTACTAGAACGGACAAATTGTAAGCTTAGTTACCAGGTGCATTGTATTGTAGGTCTCTAACCCAGCACAGAGAACATGTATTAAAAAGTGCAAAGACAGAATCCAGAGAACATGTATTAAAAAGTGCAAAGACAGAATCCAGAGAACGTGTATTGAAAAGTGTAAAGACAGAATCCAAAGAAAAAAAAGTACAACAGTCAATCTCAGGTACGTTACCCTATAACCTTTGATCCTTACTTCGGTCATTTGTAATTTTATTTCTTATAATACATTGTGTTTTCCTTCACTTCAGTTCTATTTAGAACACAAATGTATCATTTTTTAAAAGTACGGTAATGAGTTTTCCTGAAATTTGGAGCAAGCTTCTTGTGAGCCAGCTATGATATGTGATGTGTTTTCACATTCATTACTCAAACTTCTTGCTTACCGACTACTTATATATTCTTACACATAATTGCCATGTATGAAATTTTTGTCGCATTTTTCTAAGGAACTTTGAATCAGAGCTTCCTAAAATTTGGTATCAAGCTTCAAGTGAGCATGTTATAACCTATTGATGTGTTTTCACATCCATTGCTTATCAACTTTCTGTTTACCAAATACTAATAGCAGGGTATCATTAGTGATCACTTGTAAAAATTAAATTTAAAAAAAAAGGAAGTGTATTTAGTTCAGGTGTGAGAATGTTTCAAGGATTACTTCAAGTATATTTCAGTGGATTTCTGGTTTATAATATCTGATTGAAGTTTTTACAATACTTCAATCTGTGATGGTTTGGCAAAGGAATGAAATTTTGAAACTGTCTTTGAAGCATTGTAGTTCTCTGTAGAATTGTTGATTGATTGGTCATTTTTTACTGTCTGTTAATTCGTATGTATTGCGATGGTATGGCAATTTCATGGTGTTCAATTTTTTAAAACATTTGAACACCGGTTTTTAAACTTATTTCCTTTAAAATAGGCTGATTTCGATTGTTCGGCATTCTTCTTTGGCTGCAATTTGTCATCATATCCACATTTGACATGTCCTAACTAAGTAGTGTCTGGCCATGATCGTTCATGGAATTTCGCAGAATTCTATGTTCAATTTTAAAACAGAGAAATTGACATAGTGTTTGCACATATGTTATCATACACATGATACATGTGAATTTACATTGCATCAGCCATAAATGTGTACATCTCTGAGTCTGTGCTAAGTATAGATATATCGAGAATTTTATTATCCTACATGAACAGTATTAGTCAAATAAGAATGAGACTTATTTCCTTATTTCTATATTTACCCATAAGTTATGTATTGTAACAAACTAAAAAGTAATTTTGTTGAAATTTTTTTGGCATTTGAATAAAAGGAGATGTGAGAAGTAAGGGGAAAGTAAACTTTATATGTTGCACAAAAATTGCAATACAGATACAGTTTCCTGTTGATATCCTTAGAAACATTGATTTTAAGAAAGTACCAGTTTCTGCCACTTACTTCAAAGTGTTGAAAATTTATGTTTTTTGTCTTTAGTTTATTGACTTACATGAAACAAACAGGTTCATTTAGAGTTCACATTTGATTACATATACATTTGATATCATGATAGGTATAGACTGTGCGTGTCAATCAAGGTGCCTATAAATGAATAGAACAATTAACTATTATTTAGATTATTGATTTTAATATAAAAAAAAAAATCACATTTTTAATAAAATTTGTAACCTTATAGTTTTAACACATATTTGTGGAAAATAAAATTTCTGACATTGATTTTTTTCTTAACTGATTTTTCATTATAAATAAACCTTGTAATTTATAAACACTGAAAACAATAAATTTAAAACTAGTTTTTAAAGATCATGTCAGATAAGGGCAATTATTTAACTTGAATTTTTCACTAGATTTGAACTTTACTTTGAAGATTTACCATAAGAAATCATGACTTGACAATGATTTTAACAGCTGCTATTAAGTGTTTTCAATATTAATATAAAATTTGGTTGATTTTCAAATGCTTTTAAACTCACCATGAACCTTGTTCAGGGGGTCATTGGGTATATAAAAATCACTCTATCATGTCTGCTTGAATTATTTGGAAGTGATACACCTTAAGGATGTTTTCTTCTGATGTTTCAGTCTCGTTGAAATCTCGTTCTGGAATTATTTCCAAAACATGTGATACAAGTGGAAAATATCAATGAATTTAAAAAATGTTATAATATTTGACCTAAACTCTGTGAAAAAAATGTGTACTAACAATAAGTAGTTTTTGAGTAATAAAATTTTTTAATTAATCCCAGTTGATAAATTCAAATTAGCCACTGTTACTAAACAAGGGGCAATCAGAAACCATAACTGTAGAAACATTGATTGATTGTTAGTTGCTTAATGACCAATGTCAAATATTTCATGCATGCTCAGGATGATATAGAATCACGAACCTCACCAAAAATGGGGTTGAGCTCATTTCCTGCTGTGTAAGGGTTTTCATGTTACTACTTAAAAAATTTAAATCTGATAAGTCACTTTTGGTAAACGATGAAAAATAAATACTATATATATAGGGAAAGAAAATTCCATAAAATATATGTAAGCAAAAACTCATATAAAATCAATATCTATTATATTTGAATATTTTTTTATGTGAAATAGTCTTGATATGAATCTAATGAAATTGCAACCTGTTCAATAGAGCAGCCACCATATGAAGGTCCTTTTGGGTCACAGTGCAATTTTTACATGTTCGCTAGATTAATGGTTGCTGTTGATTCGTGTATGCTAGAATTAAAATTAAGTTTGTTTCATACCTCGAGTGAACTGTTACATATTGCTCTAGCATACCCCAAAGAACCTTTTTGAGCTGCTCTAGTATGCAAACAAACTGTTACCTGTTTGCTCTAGGGAATAGTAAAGAAGTATCACACATTCCTTTAGGGTATGCAAATGAACTGTTGTGCATTGATCTAGCATACACAAACCAACAGGAATTGGTAGCTCTAGCGAACCTGTAAAAAATTGCATTGTGACCTAAATTGTCCTTTATACCACTAGGGATTAAAGGTAACCATGTTTATATATGAAAGAAAATCCATAAGAATTTTCATTTATCTTCTCTTTATATATAACTGGGCAAATTTTCACAAAACTTTGCCACAAGCATTCTTTGGGTGATTAATAGCATGAAAATTACATAGATTTTGTCTGCTATGAATAGAACAGAGGGTAAAAATGCATATTCAAAATTATAAAAATTTTCCCCACTATGAATACAACATGAAGCATGTAGGTGACAAATGTAAATGATTGTAATTGAATCTGTAGAATTGCAATTTGAATAAATGAAAGTTTACGAGACAATCTAAAAGAAATTTTCTTTCAGAATAAAATAGCAAGACCCTGACATCCAACTAAGATGGCTGCCATTGCTACAAAAAGGAAATTATGTGAAAAGCTCATTGAGAAAATCAATAGCTGATCCAGTTAGAATAATTTTTGTTAAATGATTAAATTATTAAAAATTGAGCCAATGACCCAGCAACTTGTCCAATATGGCCACCATCATGGATTTCATATCTATAAAGTATAAATAATGCAGTGGTTTCAATAATATTTTCCTATGTAACTACTGTTCCAATATGGATCAAACTTGAACACAATCAAATTTACTGTGTTTAATGTTAAAATTACTACTGACAATTGAGAACATGTTTTTCAATTCTATAAATAGCCACTACCTCTACTAATAACAGAAAATTTTATCATATTTTTGTCTCGCCTTGATAGAGTAAAAAAGCGAGACATAGGTATGCTGTTTCCGGCGGCGGCGGCAACAATGTATTAGTTTGTGATAATGTCTAGTTTATGGTGAACCACTAGTGGTAGGTCAATGATATTAGGTATGCAGTTGTATTAGCATTGGCACATCTCATATCCATGGAGATTATTTGGCCCTGCTCCCTCAGTCAAGGTCTATTGACTTTAACACTTTTGCTTAGTTTACATGTATTAGTTTGTGATTAGGTCAGTTTATGGGGAACCATTAGTGGTAGGCCAATGTTAATTGGTATCCAGTTTTATAAGCATTAGCACATCTCATTTCCATGAAGAATATTTGGCCCCACCTCCTCAGTCATGGTCTATTGACTTTGAAACTTTTGCTTAGTTTACATTTGTATTAGTTTGTGATTAGATCAGTTTAAGATGAACCGCTTATGTTAAGTCAATGATATTTGGTTTGCAAATTTATTGGCATTTGCAAGTCTTGTTTCCATGGAGACTATAGAGCCCCACCCTCTCATCATGGTTCATTGACTTTGAAACTTTTACATAGTTTACAAGCTATTGTTTGTGTTTAGGTTTGTTTAAAGGGAATGACTTATGATCAATGGTATTTGGTATGCAGTTTTATTAGCACTGGCACATCTCATTTACATGGATATTGTTTAGCCATGTACCTTCAGTCAAGGTTCATTGACTTTGAATATTTGCATAACTTACATGTTAACGTATTGCTATTTTAATTTCAACATTCGCATTATCAAAATTACAAACAGTTTATTATATAAAAAATATGAAAATTCATGTGATGATCTGATTGCAACAAAACTTCAGATAACTGTAGGATTCGCTATAAAAACTTTTGACAATTCCCATGACATCTATAGATCATGGCTGCTTATAATTGCTATAGCTTCTTCACCGTAGGTAATTTATATCCAGGTCATTGAATCAGGCTCATGCAAGCTTTTAGTTCTAGCAAACTGGTTGACATTAGGTAAATGTTTTCATATATACTTTGGTTTTCATAAATTTAGTGAAAGGTAATATCACCAGACTTAACTAGAAAGCTTTGAGGGCTTTGTTTAATTTCTACCAAGTCTCGTTATTTTTACATTAACTAAAAAAAAAAAATAGCTCTGCAAAAGATTTTTTTCCTCTATTTGTTATCCATTTTCAATGAAACTTTCTTTTTGAGAATTTTTAGGCATGGATCAGCAAGAGAGTAAATTTTAAGAGCTTGATAACAATAGTTTCAAATACTGGTAACTTTGTTTTGTATAAAGCGCGCAAATGCATTATTGAAACTTTGCACACAGTTTGACTTCTACAAAGCCTTAAGATAGAATTGACATAAAATGCTTCTACCTTTCCATCACAAGGTTAAATAGAATTACAGATTATCTAATGTGACTTTTCGTTGATTGACATGTGTTTTGTTCATG